AGCGTCATACTGGAAGGGTCAGGCTACCTGAATTCCCCTGAACTTTTATGACAGAGTTGGGCAGAATTTTATTCGAATAATACACAGTGAAAAGCAACAGTATCTAAGGGTGTCGTTCTGAGCTTTAAACAGTTAATGAGATTAAATAATTGTTCGACAAATGTCAATTCATTCATAAAGATGTATTATTTTATTATAAAAATTGAAATTTCCACGTTTAAACAATGAAAAATGACGAAATACTTTCTTCTATCTTTTATTCGTTATTTGAAACTTTTTATCTAGATAATTAGTTTGCCTATTTCTGATTCTGTATTAGAATGTCTACGTTAAATTTACAGATTCATCTCCGGTATATTCTGTCCCATTTATTTCCATTCTTATGTTTTTAAGGGGTCTCCCTACTGTGACAGATTAAAAACATCGATTTTTCTTTTTTACATTTTCGCAAGGCTTAATATTACGATACCATAATCCCAAAAGGATTTCGCTCGATTGGAAATAATAACGAAGTTATTAGCCTTTAAACGCGTTTTACTCAAAACGACATGTTTGTAAATGGCTGCCACGATATCTCAGAAACTATTCCACGGAGTGACTTGAAACTATGTCGGCATGTTCAGCAGTTGCATAGTTCTCTCCCGTACTAGAATGAAGTTGATATTTGCAACTTGAAAAACGAGCGACTTTCTTCGCGAAAATCGGCACTTTCTTGCAAGATTCTGCCATTTTGTTATTTTTCAATATTTTTTATTCATTCTATTACAGGCAATAGCCACGTCCATACAGATTAATAATCTTTCTCAATTTTCGATTTGAAATAACATAGACAGTTGATACAATGGCAGCCATGGAGGCACCTTTTTTTTAGGCAGTCCCGGAAAATTACAATAACTTTTAATCTATACCACATTTTCAAGTGAAATAAATTAAGCTTATCCTATTAGTGTATACGAATTCATAGAAAAAAGTTTAACATCGATATAACTCATAGTTTTTCCCAAAAAAATTCCTGAATTTCGCCGAATTTTTGACTTGTCACAGTAGGGAGGCCGCCTAAACGAAATATTCCGCACGGTCCCGTCATCTCGCTTCCTTTCTCGATCTTAATTTCATCTTCCCTCTCCCACCGCAACACCCCCCTGGTTCCACTCCCCCCGTTCTTTTCATTTCTTCCGGATATAGTTCACCCCGCTCCACAGCCCTCCTCCTGCGTTTTCCTCGCCGAAACGAAAATCCTCGAGGAACGCGTGTGCACGTTCCAACGGAGAAATCCCAGCGAATCTCTTCTCCTGCTCGTCTGTCCGGGCTCGAACAATCCGACCGAGCATATTGCGGATAGAAAGTATCGATCTCTCGCCCCCTTTCTTTCCCCTTGCCACGCCATCTTTCTTTATTCCACCAGAGAACCTCTGGACTGGGATCTTATTTAAAAAAAAAAAAAAAAAAAAAAGCGCGGATAACTCCTTTCGATCCGTTGGCGGAACGTTGAGGAGCTCCTTTCGAGGGCGTTCAATCGCGAGGACATCCTTTCAAGTCGCGATATCTCGATCATCAGCAAAAATCGAACGCGACGGGACGCTAGAAATTCTTTTCGCGAAAGTGTTTTTTTTCTCACGTGGAATCGCTAGTTTTCCCGGTTTCTTAACCTTCCCTTGGACTTGCGTGATTTTTCAGTGCGTGACTCGCGTCTCTTACACTGATTTGTAATCGACTGAAATATCGTCGCCCGAGTTCTTGACCGATCTGACACCATTTTTCAAAAAGTATAGTTGATAAATCTACGTGCGTCTCAGTGGTCCGAGAAATATAAATTTACTGTGATTTAATTCAGGAAACAAGAAATATTCTTTTAAGTGCTCACTTCGGAACTTTGAATGTTTTTCTTTTTCTTAATTTGTGTATTTCAAAATACTAACAATATTTAAGAATTAAAAAGTGGGAGATCATAGAAATGGGAACTAATTGCAATATAACTCGCGTTGGTTTCACCGATGTTCCTCTTTCTATAATTATCAGATCTGGTCCCGTACTTTTTTTCCGGTGGTGTACGTTCTTTGGTCATTTTCATATGTAAATATTTGAATAAGATCGTAAAAACGTTTACTGTTTATTCTGCCGAAGCATAACAAAGTATGAAAAATCGAGAGTCATTGATTATGTATAAACGGAAAAACACTGCTATGGACTAGTGTAATTGGCAAAAGTGTGTACGTTACCACTTATGAGAGCGTGAGAACTATATCTGGACCCCAGAGCCAGGGTTTTATAGGTCACAGCTTTCAAACATTAGAGGAGAGTAAATCGAAGGTGCTAACCAACCTTCGAACTATTGACTGGACTTATGACAAGTCTCGATATGTAGAAATGGTGAAAATTACATGAAGTTCTTTATACGATGAACTTTACACATCGAAGGAAATATAGACCTAATATCATTTTTACATTATTATATTAAAAACTAAACAAATTACAATGAAATAATCTTTGCCACTGGAAAAAATGAAAAAAGTTCAGGAAGCATGTAGAATGTCATTTTGTTTAAAAAGTAGACTTAATAGACTTTGGCTTTGGTGTCCAGATATAGAAAGCCTTAAGGAAAGCGTAAATTGTTTCCGAAAAATAAGCAAATTCCGAATTCGTCGATCTGTGGGATCGCGAGTCTAGGAAGATTAACGATTCACCGGACCTGTCGGCTAATCTCGAAACGCTAGTCGAGCTTCAAAGGTTCGCCAGACGTTCAGAGAAGTTCTGAACAGCCTTACCCGCGTTTCCGCCTGATTCCCACGAGATCCTCTATATTACAGAGCATCGCCCACGGACGGAAGATAAACGTGGAGTATATTAATTGATAATTAACCGAACCGATCGCTAATTACTAGGTTCGATAATTAGGCACGTGTTTCGTATTTCCTGCTTTTGATGCTCCCTCGTCGATTCGTGTGTATGCGGTTTATGTTTTCCAGATCGAGAACAATTGTCGATGTAAATTAAGAAACAAAGTAATTGATCAGGGCGTGTGTACGTATTACACAATCGGCGAAAAGTATGAGACCAGAGTTTATGATTGATGGGTAAGGTAACTCATTATTTTCTAGCAATATAATAAAAGTTACGGAATCCATGTATTTATAGAACATTTTTAATGAGGTTTAGCACATTAGTTTTATAAAATCTTCGTAGAATAAGATGTCCATCTTTCTATAATTCTCATCACACTTGGTCCCATACTTTTGGCCGGTAGTGTACGTTCTTTGGTCATTTTCATATGTAAATATTCGAATAAAATCGTAAAAACGTGTACTGTTTACTCTGACAAGCATAAAATAAATATGGAAAATCGACAGTTATTGATTCTGTGTACACAGAGGATCAATTGACGTGATGTTCATAAAAGGTACAGTAAATTCTCGATAAATGCTCGGAAATATATCTACGTTATATGCTTCTGATTCATCCCACTACTGGGAGGTATCGTACTGGAGACTCGGCCCGAAATGCAGTTTATGAATCGACACAATTCATGAAGTGCAGAAATCGTGTCTCTCTGCGATAACTGCTCCAAAGCAGTCCCGAGTTTTGAGCGTTAACCAAAGATTTTCTGTATTTTGGGAAAAGTGGCGAACGGCCTCCTACCACTTGGTCTCGGGAATTACTGAAATTTGTGTCAAATTAACATTTAACATTTATTCCAGTAGTTGAAATAAATGTACCAAGTAGTAGGAACCCCTTCTTCTACGTCATTTTTTCCTTCCCAACGGGAGTCGAGTTTACTCGCGAGGGTGCATAGCTGACGTCCAATTTTTTCTCACGTTAAAACGATCACAGCCGAGCGAGATAAAAAAAACATCGAATGATATTCCTATGAAACTTCGTAGCGGAAAGTTTTTGCATAAACAAGCCGTGTTCCGTTTCCCCCATAAGAAATTGCATCCCCGCGGACGTTAATTAATCCAAGAAACTTGGTAGCGGCGCCGCAACTTCTTCCGTTCTCCCTCCCCCGCGCGGTGTACAGTTTGAAAATCGTACCCGAGACGCGCAATTTAAGCTGGCAATTTGCGAACCCTTCTAAAACAGTCGCGCGCGCGTTCCATTAGCATCGTGTTCGTGTGGTTTTGATTCTGAAAGGAACAGGAACCGAAAAGTGCACACCGAGTTACTTTCTTTTTCAGGAGAACGGAAGCAACGATGGACGTTAACGAGATATAAATTCAAGTTTCGCAGTTTTTGTTCGTTCCAGCCCCCGTCTTTTAACAACGGCGGGCGTTCAAGTTTCTAATTAACGAGCGACTGCGTTTTAATGAGGAAATTACAGCGAAAGAAACGGAACGTCTCCGTGTCTACGAGCGAACAAATTCACGGGGCTAAAGACGTTACCTGTTCTCTTTCGAATGCGCGCAGAATAATTGGAATTCTTACTGGAATTGTTACGGTGTCTCTTTTCACGAAATCGAGGCACATTTTTCAATGTGCACGAAGTACATGAAGCTAAAATTTATTTCGATAAGGCTCACAGGTTTAGGGTAGAGTAGTAACCATTTAAGTATTTGAACAATTTCGAATACGAATAATTCGAATAGTATGAAGTATTCGAAAAACAGAAGTGATCGAATTCCGAATTGTACGTAAAATGTGAAAAAACATATTACGTTCAGATTTCCATTCCGTACAATCAAAAATTCGATCACTTCGAATATTCGAATACTTCGAATGTTTCGAGTAATTCGAATACTTTGAATGTTTCGAGTAATTCGAATACTTCGAATGTTTCGAGTAATTCGAATACTTCGAATGTTTCGAATATTTCGAATGATTAGAATATAAAATTCGAATTCTAATACTATTCGAATATTCGAGTATACAAATTATTCGTAACAACCCTGGTTAATTACTTCTGATTTCGTAGCGCATCGATATCACCCGTAGTAACGATTATCAAATCGAATATTCTAGTCTCCAGTCAACAGAAGTCTAACAGAAAGGTGGATCTTCGAACTTACCTCGATACTGAAATAACCCCTGTCTACGTAATCGCCGAGAAAAAGATACTTCGTCGTGGAGGGTGGTCCGCCCACTTCGAACAATTTCATCAGGTCGTAGAACTGTCCGTGAATGTCGCCGCATACTGAAACAACAAACGAAAATCCACGAATCAGTCGGATCAATTATCTCGCCTGTGTAACATCATGTAAACAATAACGAAATCGAATGGATCTCGTGGAACACGATACCAGAACGGTGACAGGGACAAATAAGCATTGCTGATACGGTAAAGAAATCTGGTAAATAACAGAACGGAGGTAAAACGTATAAATTATGCAAATTCTCTAACCCAAGATGACGCAATATTCCGCCAACCTCGATCAACCTCGCTGAATCTCCGCCAACTTTTGTGGGAGGGCTGGGACGAATGTTTCCACAGGGGTGGTGGATCAGGGGGTGGAGAGCTCATATCTCAAAGTTTCATTAAAGAGCAACTCACGGTGTCCCGAACGCCTCGAATACATCGCGGGACCAGGGACTAAATTGGAATAATTACACGAAGAACTCGCGGATGGGGAGAAATTCTCAACGGACCGTGGCTCCCAACGGTGGAAAACTTCCTCTCTGGGGTATTCAAGGTCGAGAACCTCCCCTGTGAAATTAACTGGGCCCGATTAATCGAGCACGATTAATACTTAGGGACGCTCTCACCGCGACGGCGCCGCTTTCGACGGCCCTCGAGACGGGCCAAACTTGTTCGGCGAACGTTTCCAACTGGAATTACGTATTCGTGCCGCGCCCCCTGGGAGAGGCTGAGCAAGAAGATGGTCCTGGCCGCGAAACTTTCTCTCGTCGAGCGTTATTTAGGAAACTCGATCGAGTTACCATCTCTGGCCGCCTGACTCGAGATAGAATAACGGTTCTTGTTGTGTTTGCCGTTGTGCAGAAACACGTCTCCACCCCCGTGGATACTAAATTAACGCGTCTTTTCAGATTTTCTCGTTACAATAATTATAAGCTTTCCATATTCATCTGGTTTCAGAGTTGGAAATGGAAGCCCTTGGCTTTTTCGCGAAGAAAATATTCTACGTCGACTAGTTTTGCATATTCAAGTGTGTCAGTAGAGTCTTGTTTTTCATTTCCCAAAAGAAGAATTTCCGCTACGAGTTGTGATCTTTTTAAAAAGCAATACCTGGACGCATATTTGACCTGTGTACCCCTAGCGGAGCCAACGGAATGCAAAGCCTATCCCTCGATCTAAGTGGAGTGTTCGTTCCATTTAGTTTTTTTTTAAATAAATATTTTTATAATTTATACTGCCATTCTGTTGAGAAATTTTTTTTCGTACAGGCAGACTCCATATAGTCGGTTTTTTTAAACCACATGGAGCAAACGCAACGCGTAAATCGAGGGACGGTTGTATTTACAAGTTAGATCGATGTGTATATTACAAGTGATGGTGTGTTTACGAGTGCTGATGGGAAACTGTACACTTTTTTCTTCCGAGTGGCGAGCGTATGACTGCTGTGTGATTGGTTGTACTGTCGATTGTTTGCATTATTAGGAAATTTGGAGGAAGTAAGTAAGTGGGTGGAGTGTAAGGGTGATTAGAAAGTGAAAAAGAAGAAGGGTGGTGGAAGGAAAGGTGAGAGTGAGAAAGTTTGAGAAAAAGGAGAAAGTCTATGGGTCTGTTTTTCTGGGTGAGTTTATAATGGTTAAAGTTTCGAGTCAAGGCGTAACGTGAGCGTTTTAGGATTTTTATGGTGTCATCCGGACGTTCGAATTTTCGGCACGTTGATAAAATTAACAAAGTTTCGTTACGCTGGAAGATCGACAAATTGTTGTACGGCGATTTATGAGTCCGTACATTTTAGTTTTTTATTACTCAACTGTAAACCTTCTTTATGTGTGTGCAATTTTATTATTGACTGCAGTTGTAAGTTATTTTCAAAGATCCCGGAGGACTAATATCTTCGAAGCCTAAAAAACTGTTAAATTGATATATGACGACCCTTTAATCACAAATAAATCGAACTACTCAGTTGCCCGTGCGATTTTGCTCGGAATAACCATTCCGTTCCGAGCGGCAAAATCGCAAGGCCGATTTAAATACAGCCGTCTGTATCGTTATCCATCACGCCCACGAACGTTTTGCATAATTCAGCAACAAGTGGCAACTTTCGTCTCATGCCCAGGGTTCGAGGATTGAAATCTATTGACGCGAAGGAACCGTGTTTTTTCCACCGACGCGCGGCGTCTGACCACACACTCGGCTCGACTACTTACGAAAGGCTTCGACCCATCTCCCACCGGCATTACAGAAGAATTCGAACGATTCGGCTGATCGAGATTGCTGGAAACACGTTCACCTTACACGAACGAACATGGTAGAAAATAAAAATATCTAGGATAGGATGTAGTTTACTGAAAATAATAATTTTTAAAATTCAATACATTTAGTTTGAAACTCTTTCTTATAGATATTAATAGATATTACAAAATATAGTATCGAAGACGATCCAATTCCAATAAAGTTCCTCCAAGTATGTCAAATACAACCGAGGTGAGTCGAATTTCTTTAATTAAGTTAGTCCCCTAAGCAAGAGTTTCTTGCCCACGATAATTAACATTGAGGTTCCTCCGGCTGTATGAACTATAATTGAGAAAGTTAACGTATCTTGTTTCGCGGGGAAGATCGCGAGAACGGAAAGAAATTCTGAAATTCCTGATCGTCTGACCAAGCCGGTAGAAACTTCGCCGAGATTAATTCTTTATCGTTAACGGGGAAAATAATTCGATAAAATGCCACCCGCTTCCTTCGATAAATTTTATTTTTGCTAATGCCAGTATTAACCGGGGACCACGGTCGATAGTGTCTCGTGCCAGTGGATTTCCAGTTGGTCACCTTTCCTTGCGAGAAAATTGATAGAACGTCCCTTTTCTGCCCGAGCACTCGAGAGTGAAACAGCCCAAGCGAGTTGCTATCGCGTCCGACCGGGAGAAAACGCTAAATCGAATTTTTATTTTTCGAATTCGCGGCGGGTTTCAAAGGGCTGCTCTCGACACCACGGATGAAATTCTATTTCGCGACGACTCGTTATCGAATTCTTTATTCGTATCCTTTTCTAGTAGACTTTTTGTATGGAACAAATGGATCGGAGAGGAGCGGTGTGCGTTCCATGACCGACCTACCGCGCTTCGTTAAGGGTTGAGTTAAGGTAAATATCCCAGTGGTTGGATGTTTAGTTCGTTGACTGTCAGCTACGAGATAACTCGTAGTTGAAACATTGCAAACATGCTGCATTATTTAAATACCTCTACAAAATTTTGACATACGATTAATATCACAGTATAATTTAAAACAAAACAAGTAATCTCTATTAATCAGACGTATATATTTTCAAAGATTTATAACTTAAAAAACGAAATAAAGTGTGCCTGCCTACGTACTGCCTTTTCCACTGTAGCAGTCAATGTGTTAAGGCGAAAATTGCGATTACGAAGATTTTTATATATTAAAATAATATAGATTGCCAAAAAAGTACATTCTTCTTTGTTTTTTATTTTTTTTAACACTTTTTGCAACTTTCTTGGCAGCAAATTTTTGTTTTTCTTTTCTCTTCTAGTTTTACTTTAATACGCTTCTTTAATTCTTCTCTTTGAATGTCTTATTGTTATAAAAAATTCCCGATACAAAAGAAATAAAATAAAAAGATGATTTTTAATGAACATTCAGTACGCGAATCGCTTAGGTTATGGTTGTGTCAAAATATGATATTTATGTATGAAATATGTAAAAAAAACTATGAACTTCCAAAATTAAATATTGTTATTAATATAAAAAACACAAAAATATATACTGTAATATAATGAAAATAATTTTGTAAGTCATAACTCTCTGCTCGATGCTGCTCGAGTGACTGGACAAGCGTCCAACGACTATGCAATCAGCATTCTTATGTACCAGTAAATAAACTCGGTAATTGCGACATTAAAAGAAAAAGGTTTTATTAAAACAAGGTTGGTACCAATTCTGGAGACATTAATAAGTTCAAGAAACCTTTACTTAGTAGAAGGCAGTCAGTATTGAACAGTTTAAATGGCAACACCACCTCATGAAACGCGAATTTTATATCAGAATCTGTACATATATTTAATAGAGACATTTATATATTTTTCACGGCCACCTCCTACACTAGAGATACTACCGCCGTGTATGATTTACAGGGGAGAGACAGGGAGTTTTATCCTCGTAATTTCACTTCGAAACGTCGTTCCGTTTCCAAGAGGGAAAAATCAGATTAAAGCTGCGAGGAGCATTAAAATTAATTTCGTTAATTAAGCTAATCCCGGTGTCCTCGAACCGCTTTTTAGCTGCTTCTTCAAGCTGGATTAAACTTTCCGAACTAAATTGGAGCAGCGCAGCACACATTGCCTTAATGATTTATTTAGGTGTACGATGTCATATACGAACTTCAGTGTGTTTTAATGAAGTTAATCACTTTTTCATTGACAATTCGATTAGAATATAACTTCTATCCAGTGCTCTACTATTCTCGATTCAACTATTACAGTAACGAGCAATACGAATCTTCTATGATTCTAATTAAAAAAGTAAAGTTATTGAATTAGCCACACATGTATTTTGAGGAGAAGTCATAAAGTAGGTCCATAAAATCGAAAGAAATCGGTGTAACATTTGTGAAAGTAGCGAGCAATAATAATCTCAGTTACGACTCGAAAGAACTTACCAATATCCCTACTAAAATGAGGTGAAGTTATCCAATTATGTAGTATTACACGAACTTCGTAGCGAAGTCATAAATGTAGATTCATATAGTCGAAATTAATCGTTGTAACGATCACAAGACCAATTCTCTCGCGTATCACTTGATCGCTACACCTGGAATAGTCGATTGGAGATACAATTGTTACGAGTACAATTCCAACAGAAGGAACAACACACAACCCCGACAAGTCATCGCCCTAATTCTTAATTGTTCTATGTACACTAGTTTCTAAACCGAGAAAACTGAGTTTAATATTCACGAAGTTTAATATTACAGCATCACAAAAGTAGTGAAATAAAATCAAACACACTATAATATCATCTACTGAACAGCTATTTATTACAATATTTAA